ATTCTTTAAGCTGGTTATATTTCTTCCATCAGCTATCATTCTAAACAAGAATGTTGCCATACATACAACATGAATCTACCTACATATTATTTACATAAGTAACAATGTCAAACACAACACAGAAGACCCAAAGCAACCACATTGACTACATCTCCCAGAAAGCCCAGCGCTCTAGGAGCATGCGCAAAGCAGTCTCTAGATGGCAGTGCGGACATGTCGAGACACGGCCCATGTTTACCTACTGCACGTACCGCCTACAAGTTACAAAAGCCACGAAACACAACACAATGCTCTGCAACAGACCACGGAGTCAAAGTCGCCGTTCACCACGCCATCATTAGCAGGCTGTTTGCAGCTAGCAGTTGTTACTCTACTTACCAACTGGCTGTGTGCTCCTGCCGAAGGTCTGAATACAATGAGCCGTCACCGTGAAAACAAGAATACTTACGTACGCACCCATGATTTTGTTGTGTTGTACGCCTGAGACCCTTTAAGGGGTTCCTTAAAGGGTCTCAGGCGTACAACACAACAAAATGAATGTTTTAACCAAACAATTTAAATGGCAGGTATCTCTGTTAAAGGAAGAGAGTGGCTGCAGCAGCTCAATAAATTATTTACATTTCTTATCAGTAAACATAAACTTAGTCCCAATAATTTTACCAAGTGACCAAAAGTCTTGACAAGCACATATGGTTGATTTGTTGTGAATTTTCAAAATTTTGAACTTTAGAGGCTTGCTGTAGCGCCACCATCAGGACTATTGGCCTGTTTTTGCAGCTGAGGCAATCTGGCATGGGACTGGATCTTTGTGCAAAGTTTGGTGATTTTTCATGCATGGGAAGTAGGATTTCTTCGGAAGAAGAACATGCAGGATAACAATAGGGTCCTGGCAGCTTAGGCTGCCCGGCCCCTAATAAACAGCAGTCAGTGCTATGCCTAGAAACAAACAAAGTGGGGCAAGCGATAGTGTGGTGGGGGATAAAGATTTGGAGGTCCGACAACGCCACCTGGGGAGTTGCACCCCAGGAAATCCTAAACTAAACTTCTAGATAGACAAGGTCGCACAGGTTCGTTTATACCACCGGGGCGAGACGGTTTTCAATTAAAACAAATCAATTTTATTAACAAAAGCATTCAAAAGAAAGTACTTAAAGTCACACACCAGCTCAATAATAAAATGAGTACTTGGGCAGGAATGGGGATAAGGACAGGGCTGGGGCTTACCAAGCGGCAGGGACAACCAAAATCGGGGAAGGGGTCCTCAAATGAATCACCCAGTGACACTGCACACACTCACATGCACTCCAAAACCAAAAAAATAAGGGGGGGAATCGTGACGAACGCACCACCACCAGGGGTTAAACTGCCGCCGTCAGCCCACAGCACCTGACAACAAAAGAGAACAAAGTTAATAAAACATGCCCAAGAACTTAACAAAACTTGGGTAAACTAAATAAAGATTTACATAATTTAAATACACATAATCAACTAATTCAATAAACTAACGGAAAATAAGCACGGGACAACATAACTTCAATACAACAAATGAAACCAAAGTACAAAAGTAAGTCTACTAAACTAAATTATAGATAACAAAGAAAACAGGTGAAATACAGACTTAAAATATTTGGCTCACGGTCACTAGGCAGGGGCAACCAATATCGGTCCTAGAACAGCCTGTAAAACAGTTAGACCTCCAAGACAGAGCGGGCCGGGCAGCGGTCAGCCGCTCCGGACAGCAAACTTAGCCCGCTTGCCACCGAACGGCCAAAACAGAACAAAACAAACAAAACAAAATTACAAAATCCAAAATAACAACCAAACTAAAAGTAAAGAACCAAAAATAAAAGGAGCTGAAAGAGCCCAAACAAGTCAAAAATGAAATTGTAAAATAAACCAATTCCAAAGCAACTAAATCAAAATAATAATTAAATCAAAAGGAAAGAAAGCCAGAACGAGAGAGCCAGAGAACCAGAGAGCCAGAGAGCCAGAGCAGCAGCGTGGCCCAGGGAGTGATGGTCACTGGCAGGCCAAACAATTGCAGAACAACACTGCAAAAACAAGAAAACCTGGTATTTAGTAAATTAATTAAATAACTTAAAATAATCTTTTGACAAAAATCTCAAATAAATACATACCAGGCGCAGCAAACTCTAGGCAACCAGAGGATATGAGCCCCAGGACAAAGCTCGAGTGTACAGCCTGAGAATTACGTACAGATATGAATCAGCTGAGCGCTGAGAGACAGATGAAACAAAAGCGCAGACAATGCGTGGACTGACGTACCAGAGCGGGCAAATAGCAACACACAGCGGGGCTCCAGCACGTCACCCCGTCCTCCCTGGCCCCCCAACAGTCAGCCACACTGCAAGGAGTGGAGATCGGGTCACCAAGGTGCGCATTACGCACACGTACACAAAAGGAAAGGTGGCAGGGCGCTTACCTGAGAGAGGAGATGGTGTGCTTTGATGGCGAACCAAACACAGGGTGCACGCCACACCAAGGAGCCTTCACGTTAAATAAAGCACCATCCGGTGAACAAAAACGGCTGCCAGTGTCACGCCAAACAAAATGTTGCCACACTGAGACACAGCCACCACGGGAGCGAGCAGAAGAAAGAACGGGCGCGACCACACGCCTAGGTATAAAGGTGCGCGTGGCGCCGCCCAGTGATCACGATGAATGAAGCTGGCACAGTGCCCAGTAGTGGCAGGGAGGAAAATCGCCTCCTGCTACAAAAGCACTGTTAATTTAGTTTGTAGGGCACATTACAATGTTTAAATGTTTCATGTTTTACATACCTTTGTATAAGAGTCAACTTTTCATTCTTTTTTCCTACAAACAGGTTATGGCAGACCCAGTATTAAAATCATTAAAATACAAATACCTCAGGGTGCATGCACCCCTACAGTACCCTAACAATTAAAATGCTAACATGATTATAAAACAATGCTAAAAACCCCAAAAGTCCAGCTTACCGGAGCCACAGGGAATCAAACAGTCACAGCCACATGGAGAGCACACAAAGAATCTGAGGAGAGTGAAGCCTGAAGTCACACCTGCAGTCTCACCTGCTGCCAATCAGCCCCTCCTCCAGTTCCTGTCTCCCCTGATTGGTATCTGGCCTAGTGACCTACTGCTTCACTGGTTTAAATCTTATTTATCTGATCATTATCAGTTTGTTCACGCTCATGATGAATCATCCTTATGTACTAAAGTTTGTTTTGGAGTTTTGCAAGATTCTGTGCTCGGACCAATCCTATTTACTCTATATATGCTTCCTTTAGGTAACATCATTAGAAATCACTCTATAAATTTCCATTGTTATGCGGATGATACACAATTGTATTTATTGATGAAGCCAGAGGAAACTAATCAATTAACTAAACTTCATAATTGCCTTAAAGACATAAAAACCTGGATGAGCACCAATTTCCTGATGTTAAAATCAGACAAAACTGAAGTTATTGTTCTTGGCCCCAAACAACTCAGAGACTCTTTATCTGATGACATAGTTTCTCTAGATGGCATTGCTCTGGCCTCTAACACTACCGTAAGAAACCTCGGAGTAATATTTGATCAAGATTTGTCTTTTAATTCTCATTTAAATCAAACCTCATGGACTGCATTTTTTCATCTGTGTACTATTGCGAAAATTAGGCCTATCCTGACCCAAAAAGATGCAGAAAAAACTTTTGTTACCTCTTGGCTGGATTACTGTAACTCCCTATTATCAGGTAGCTCTAATAAGTCTTTAAAAACTCTTCAGCTAATTCAGAATGCAGCAGCACGTGTACTAACAGGAACTAAGAAACAAGATCAGATTTCTCCTGTTTTAGCTTCTCTGCACTGGCTCCCTGTAAAATCCAGAATTGAATTTAAAATCCTACTGTTAACTTATAAAGCTCTAAATGGTCAGGCTCCGTCATATCTTAGAGAGCTCATAGTGCCATATTATCCCACCAGAACACTGCACTCTGAGGATGCAGGGCTACTCGTGGTCCCTAAAGTCTCCAAAAGTAGATCAGGAGCCAGAGCCTTCAGCTATCAGGCTCCTCTCCTGTGGAATCATCTTCCTGTTGCGGTCCGGGAGGCAGACACCGTATCCACATTTAAGACTAGATTTAAGACTTTCCTCTTTGATAAAGCTTATAGTTAGGGCCAGCTCAGGCTTGCCTTGTACCAGCCCCTAGTTAGGCTGACTTAGGCCTAGTCTGCCAGGGGACCTCCTATAATACACTGGGCACCTTCTCTCCTTCTCTCTCTCTCTCTCTCTCTCTCTCTCTCTCTCTCTCTCATGTCCTGTTATTGCATCTTGTTAACTCGGCTGTACTGCATGTCACTAACTTGGCTTCTTCTCCAGAGCCTTTGTGCTCCGCTGTCTGGCAGGTTAACTTATATCGCAGCGGTGCCTGGATAGTGTGACGTGTGTGGTTGTGCTGCTGCCGTGGTCCTGCTAGATGCCTCCTGCTACTGCTGTTATCATTAGTCATACTTCTACTGTTATTATACACATATGATTATTGTCACATATGTATACTATCAGATATTAATATATACTTTCAACATATTGTACCACAATAGCCAGAATTATAATTATAATATTATTACTTTCATTAATGTTGTAAGCTATTACCGTTACCGTCTGTCCTGCATCTCTCTCTGTCTCTGTCTCTCTCTCTGTCTCTCTTTCTGTCTCATTGTGTCATACGGATTACTGTTAATTTATTATGTTGATCTGTTCTGTACAACATCTATTGCACGTCTGTCCGTCCTGGAAGCGGGATCCCTCCTCAGTTGCTCTTCCTGAGGTTTCTACCGTTTTTTTCCCCGTTAGAGGGTTTCTCTGGGGGGAGTTTTTTTCTTATCCGCTGCGAGGGTCCTGAGCACAGAGGGATGTCGTATGCTGTAAAGCCCTGTGAGGCAAATTGTGATTTGTGATATTGGACTTTATAAATAAAATTGATTGATTGATTGATTGATTGATTGATCAAAATCAAGTTTGAAGACTAAATATCAACCACATTTGCCAAGTGATTTTTATTTTATCACATTTGATCCTGTTTCTTGTGCATCAAGGTGACAGCTGACTAAAAGGTTAGCTTACATTGCCCTTATATGGTGTGTAGCCTAAATGAAGTTGATTTTAAACTTTAATGAAATTGACAAATCAGTTCAGTCAATGTAGAGTGCATACTGGATACTGGTTGTTCTCTGGCCCTATGATAAAGCTTTCATGTATGTCTGCTGTGTGTACTCTACTGGATGGGAACTTGAAGGCAGTAGTGCAGTGAATGTACACTAATGAGGGTACTGTAGGTGGTCAGGCCTAATAGCAATTTTTTGCCCCATAACAGTTACATTTGGTGAGCTGTTATATGATGACAGCTGGCAGTTTACAGTAAAGAATCATCCGAATTCTCTGGAGTGTCACTGATTTGACCAGATTTTTATTTGATCATTGTAGCGCAAGTATTCATTAGCATACTTCAGTGAAAAGGGTTATGCCATTATACCATTATTGTTTGAAAGCCCCCAGTTGGTAGTGAAGAGCAGTGCCTTGTTAGAGATTTCACCCCTCCATGCTGCTGTAAGCCAGATTGCAAGAGCTCTCTGCACATGATAAAGGCCAGTCACTGCCTGGAGCTCCTCCATCTCGCTACAGCATCACACCCCACCAGTCAGGGTGTCCTACACTGCCCCCATGAGGGCAGCACCCGCAACTCCATGATGGTAGTGATGGCGATGTTACATTAAATAGTGTTACATGATGTATAAGATGCTGCCAATACCTTCACTAAAACAAATATCCCTCTTACTCTGAAAATACCCCCCCCCCCCAACTGCATCTTATTGTGCCTGCTTTAATAGCTCGGTTCATTATATCCATCTGTCTGAGTCTCCACGGTGATTTGTCACTACAGATACATCCTCCATGGCAACAGCTGCTGGCAAGGCAGCCGAGGGTGACGTTTATCTGATGAGGTGTGACAGCAAGTGTATTTTTAGCTCATAAGCCAGGTAGCCACAAACTGAGTTCAAAACACTTCAGAGGATGTTTCTGTGACAGCAGGAAACACAAAGCCTCCTTTATGAAAACGTCCCAGTTTGCAATGAGGCTGCTGATAGGCAGTATGTAAAAAGTCTCCACACATATATGAACAGATGGAACTATAATTTGTTATTTCTAATTTATTTGAAATTAATTAGTAATTTCTTTTTGAGAATGATGGTGGCTGGGAGGGAGGAGATTTATTGGAACGTAGCCAAAACCATCCCAGTCTGGTCACTCCTTGGCAGTCTCACAGGGACAGTTGCAGGTCAGGCGATGCACCAAGGGATGTGGCTGATTGATGTATCGTTATACCTATTGACTTTGTCATTTAGTAGTTATTTACTGCATAGAAATGTCAAAAATAATTACATATAGCCCTCGTTCTCAGAAGCCAACGTGATGACTTCAGAGCTCAAATTTTATCCAACCAACTTAAAGAGGTTCCAGTTATAAAGACTTGAGGAATGCAGAAACTCTGCAGTAAATGTCAGTGACAAATATGACAGTTGGTTCTGACTAACCAGCTTTTGTGCAGAAAACCCTGCAGCTATATGGATAAACTTTTACTCTTACCTACTGAGTTTTATACATTTCTAAATGAAAGCTGTGTGCCTTCATTTTTGCTTCTGTTGTTTCACCCTGTGACAGTCTTTATCCCATGCTGCTTATTTAGTGATTGATATGCTGTGGTGAACAATATCACCTCCACAGTTTCAGACTGGCTCAAAAACTCAACCCATCTTTTGCAAGTCAGTTAATCACACAATCTGATGTCTTTGTCCCCACCCCTCCTGTCTCAGCGGTGGTTGTTCCTGATGGGGCGTCAGAGAAAGTGGAGCTTGGTGACGAGCTGGGTAGCGAAGAGGATCTGCTGTATGAAGAGTTTCGCAGTTCTGGACATCGTTTTGGACACCCAGGAGGAGGTGGAGGAGAGCAGCTGGCCATCAATGAGGTAGGCAAGTTTGAAGAACATGGTGCAAGTACACCGAGGGCATGTCAAACTCCATTTTGCTAGTTAAACAGTGCATAATCTGGGTGCAAAGTAAAGTGCAAGGGACAAAGGTGTTGTATGTTGTGTTTGGGACATAATATGAAGTCAACCATTCGGAAGATCAGCAGTTCAATCCCTGGCTCCTGTAGTCCTCACGTTGAAGTATCCTTTTTGCAAGATACTGAACCCCAAGTTGCTCCTGGTGGCTTTTCCATCAGTGTGTGGAGCACCAGGTGGCACCTTGTACAGTAGCTTCAGCCACCAATGTGTGAATGTGTGTGTGTGAATGTCTGGTGTCAAAGTGTTTTGAGTGGTTGGAAGACTAGAAGCAAGTGCAAGTCCATTTACCTTGCACCTGGAGCACTGCTATTTACATGGCCAGTTGGAGAGGGACACATTCACACGAGTGAATGCAGGCAAGTTACCAGGCCTGGAGTGCACATAGGGAGAACACAAATGTAAAGGTGGCTGTAATTAAGTAGCTATAACTGTATAATAATCACAAACCACCAATAAGGTAACTTGAATTCTTTGTTACGAGGGTGAGCAGCAGGCCTACTTAATAAACCACAATTACAGAGGCTGCAACAAAACATTTATTGTGCAAAGATATGCGTATAGGCTAAAACTGATGGTAGAAAATGTCTCTTTAAAATGGGGAAAGGTCTTAAAAGGGCAAGATAACAGTCTTAAAATAAATCAGTTCAAGAGGGCTCACTGTCGTGCTCCAAGTCCTTGCTTTAGCGCCCTCTATGCAATCAACATCGGTCATGCCCACACCACCAAGGGCCCCTCTTCTCTGCTCCTGGAACCAAGAAAAATACCTAGCAGTCTGCACTTCATAGACAGGGTTATGTCAATTGGAAGCAGCTTCACCAATAGACAGTGAACTGGTTATAAAGGAACTCACAGCTTTGGGCAGAAGCTCCTGCCAGTTGTGTTCAAAGACCTCCAGTACACTGCTGGTTTGAGTCATCTGGCCTGCTCTCACCCCTCGCCAAAGCCTCCTCTGCTTGCAAGGTGTGTGGGTCCTGTCAGCAACAATGAGTCCAACCTGCTGCTCTGTCTATATAGGTGGAGGGTGGGTGTGGCCAGCCTGCAGCAGTTGATTGGCTGATGCAGCTGTCAGTCCATGTCTGCAATCACTGCCTCCATTGTGTTCAGCTGTGTCCAATTAACTCAAGCATGCATGCAAATATATTCAAACCAAGTGTGACCAACCCCAGTGTACAGTAAGGTCTCTACATAAACCCACAAACAAATTCTTTCACAGGTACAAGAGCCAGAGACATGCATTCAAGTCAAAAACTCAGTATTTATTGTAAAAAGGGGGATTAAAGGGGCAGTAACGGACCTAAAAAAAAGAAAAAGGACAATCAGTTTAAGAAAAGGTTTTTAATGTTACACTATTAATATTTAAAACTGCAAAGTAGCTGAACCAGCAGGTTACAATATGGATGAAAACAAGCAGGAGTGTGGAATACACTGCTGAAGAAAAAATATCAGGCAGGGTACTCATCACAGGGAGATTCTATCACAAAACCCAATATCACTTCACCACGTGCACACCGTGATCACTGCAAAACACTGCAAAGCACTGCAACATACACTGCAAACTGAGGTAGATCTACAGACTAGTTTGGGTGCTCACCACACTTCTGGCCTACCACACTGCATGCAAGGAAGGGTGTGTACACCACGCCACAGATCCTCCCACTGCCTGAAAAGCAAATAAAAGAAAATACAATATAAATACTCAGTTGGTTCTTGGGCACAAATTATTTCAACAGGAGTCAGATTATTACACAGAACAAATCAGACGTCAAAGCAAAGATGGATGGCAGTAAACTTATGACAAGCTGAGTAAAAGTCCACAATCTTAAGAGCGTTTAAGACACATCAACCGGACCGCATGGCACATCAGTCCAGGCAAAGCAGCAGTCTGGCACTAAATCTTAAAAAGAAGGAGCACAGCCATTAAATAGACTGGCAAACCTACCTCGGAGGGAATAACCCTCCTACAGTGCCATACAGTCTATACCTCGGAGGGAATAACCCTCCTACATTACCATACCATTTGTTTTACCTTCTCCAGCTTTGACCCTGTAAGAGACTGGCACCGGTGGAGCTGACTGGTTCTATACTGTGACTCAATCAGGAGAAAGGTGAAGGCTGATTCATGTCCTAAAGGGTTAAGTTGGACACATCACTAATATTGAGGTATTGTGAAATTCAAAAGCCAGATTAATCAGTGGTCTACCTCTTCAGCATGGGCCTACAGGGCCTTCGTCAAACTGAGTCGAGAGGGAAAACAGCTACACCACAATTCTGTGCGAGAATACTGGTTAGATTCCCATCAAAATACAACCTTAGATTTCTCTCCAAATCTCCCTTACCTGCACAGACACAGCAGTCCCACCACACAGCTACCAGGCCTCAGACAAAAAGGCACTGATTGCTCTCACCTGTCCTTATAAAGAGGGAGGGCTCTCTCTAACCCTACCTACAAGGGGTGGTGCTTCTAACCTAGGTGCCAGCCCTCACACAAGAAATTGCTGCACTCAAAACAATAACAATAACTAAAGACAGCAACTAAACAGAAACATGCAAATAAAATGCTGAACATACATGTAGATAAACAAAATACTCAAACACAGCAAACAATGGTTTCAACTGAAGACAGCAACAAAACACAGCATAGTACTCAGTAATGACAATTAATGACACAAAGATAGCAAGATGCTGGCCTGTCTGTCATGTTTTTCCCAACAGCTGTCAGTGGCACAGTGATGCAAGGAGAGGGATGAGGTGTGGGAGGTTGAGCCACTTGTCAGTTGTCAAAAGACAAGACGTGATTGGTTTATTTCGATTTACACCCGCCCCAACAGTCCTACGTTGTAAACACAGCAAGCATGGTGAGGAGGGGGTTTGTCGACTCACGTCGCGTGTGTCTGTGTGGGAACCAGCTGATGCTGAGATGTGAGGGAAAGTTGTCAAGTTAATTTCAATGGACCCCAACCCAAATCCGGGTAAAAAAAAAAAAGGAGAAAAGGTGGTGCAGAAAGAGAGAGGAAGAAAAAAAGAAAGGCATGACGCGGCCAAATACCTAAAATTGCCAGATTTATTCAGAGCCCCTGTCGTGGCAAAAACACACGATGCTTTTGCGAGTAAGTCACCTAAAAAACACTGGTTCTTCTCAGCATGAGGTCCGGGGACCCCCAGAGGTCCTTGAGGCCAAATAAATGATTGATAAATGGACCCTATAGTACATTTGGTAACACTTGTTACACCCACAAATGTATTAACAGCCCACAAACGTAATAAACCAGAAACGTAATACAAATGTGCAGCTTTTAATGTAATAATCTTCCCACAAGATTATAAATTTCCCACAAATGTAATAGCAGCTGCCTACTACAAACGTAACACACAATTTTCCGCAAATGTAATAACTATTACATTTGCAGGAAATTATTACATATGTGGGAAGGTGAAAATCTAAACTGTAATAACTTCCCACAAATGTAATATGAGACTGAATAATGATCTTTGTGGTTGTTGTTGTTTGTTTGTTTACTTACTTATACACCTGCCAATAGTGATGCGTGTGTTGACAAGCAGGTCGGGCGGGGCGGGTCAGAAAGTGACAGAGCAGCGTTCTGAGTAAGTTAGAAATAACTTACAGAAACACACACACACACACACACACACACACACACACTGGTCATTCCTTGTCAGTTCACAGAATTACTCTGTGGCAGCAAATATGTCGTTTAATTGGATTTATTTTATTTTCTCCTGCCTCTTGTTAATACGGATTTCTCTGCAGCATCTGGCCTACAGCGGACAGCAGTGCTGCGGGATGGGTTGGCTTTCATAGGGGGTCAAGTGCAGGTTGTAAGGTTTTAAAAACCATGGTTTACAATAACTTAATCCTCCTCCACTCAAAAATGTGTTTTCTTCTTGTCCCTACAGATGAATGTTTGAGCCTCACTGTGCAGAATGACGTATGTGCAGAGCTTGACACTCAAAGGCTGTTTTCACATCTATCTGCTGAAAATGCTCATATGATTTTAAGGGCTAGGGCTACGAGCCTATGTTGGTGGCTTATGTAGCCTATGTTTGAACCATTTAATTAAAATATGTCTGCATATCAAAAGCCAAAAACTTGAATATGTCGTTAATTCTATGAAGTAATGAAAACATTTTTCAAGATTTAAGACTGGTACTTTTTGATAGTAACATGGACCAAGACTGTCTGAACACTGACAATTAAAGGCTTGCAAATAATTAATGACTGGTGAACTTAAATTAATGTAGCCTGTGTGAATGCAGAAAAGTGAGAATTGCCATGTAGGTAACTGAAAATTTCCCAGACAAAATGATACATTATGTTACATTACTTTAAATAAACAGCCTTTTCAGTTAAAGGTAGGATCTGGAGGATTTTCAAACAAAACAAAATATAGACATATACAAATGAAATCCTGCTTAATCATCACCTATGGGCTTCTACTCATGTGTGGTGGTGACCCTTTAACTGTATTTTGATGTTTTTGTCAGCTCGGACCGCTTCTGGGCGGAGATTTCCCCAGCCAATGAGAGAGCACAGGTGCCGTGCCCGAGCGTGTCCAAGCGTGCACCAGCGCGAGCCTTGCCTGAACCTCTTATGTGAAGCCTTCTTCCGTACCTCCGGGCTCCGTACACCCAGGAGAGTTGAGCCTGATAGGAGGGGCTGAATTTGAATGTGTGTTTACAAACAGCAACTGGAAAATCCTCCAGACCCTACCTTTAAGTGTAATGTAAGGTCTCATCCACTTATTATTATTTGAATATGAATTATTTGATAGTTGCTGCAAATAAATGAATGTATGGGTATGCATCAAAACTCTACCAATAAAACCAAAGAAGATGCGCAGGCAATGGTCACTTCGCGGTAAAACAGTTCAACTTTGGAACAACTTTTCACCCCTTTCCCGGTAAGGGAATTACTCATTTGTATACACACCACTTGATAAGTCTAAATAGGCAAGAATCTAAAGGACAAGAATATGTGGGAAGAAAATGTCATTGCCTGTTGAAGACATTTAGTTAGCAACTTATATAAGCTGCAGATTTTTAGTATTTGTGGTTTATTCATTCAGTTAGATTCAAATTTGCTTTATTGGTGTAAATATCACAACAACAATATTGCCAAAGCATCAAGAATCAATTAACAAAAATTAATGAATTTCATGAATTAAAACAAGAAAAGAGTAGCATAGTACTGTTAAAACTTGCTCTGTTTGTGGGCGTACATATGTGTTCGAGTTATATTATTGTATGTGTGATTTTGTATATGTGTGTATATGGGGAAGAAATAATTAAAAGAAAATAATAATAATAGTAATAATAATAATGATTAAAATAATTGTGATTATTATCACAATTATTAATCTTTTTTTGATGAAGATAAATGATAATTTAATCATTAAAGATTCCTTCAAGACATGTTTTAACGTATATAAATGTTTCTCTTGAATAATAATGTATGATACAGTTTCTCCTCAAAAAATTCAATTATCTTGTTAAAATCCTTAAAATGACATCTACACCTTCTCCCTCATTAAAAATGCTAGAATCTATCAATATGCCAATTTTATTCTTCATCCCAAAGGTTTCACTGTTAAGTCCATTCTCAGTGTATGTGCACTGGAGGCTTCAAGTTTCCACATCACACTTGTGTAAGTTGAACATTGGACCATGACTGGCTTCTAAAATATTTGTGATGTCACAAATCATGCTTGTAGCCCTTCCAAAGAATAAACGACATATTTAAGTTTTTGGCTTTTGATATGCAGACATATTTTAATTAAATGGTTCAAAAATAGGCTACATAAGCCACCAACACAGGCTCGTAGCCCTAGCCCTTAAAATCATATGAGCATTTTCAGCAGATAAATGTGAAAACAGCCTTTGAGTGTCAAGCTCTGCACATACATCATTCTGCACAGTGAGGCTCAAGCATTCATCTGTAGGAACAAGAAGAAAACACATTTTTTGAGTGGAGGAGGATTAAGTTATTGTAAACCATGGTTTTTAAAACCTTACAACCTGCACCTGACCCCCTATGAGAGCCAACCCATCCTGCAGCGCTGCTGTCCGAGGTGCTGAACAGGTACTGTATGCCAGATGCTGCAGAGAAATCTGTATTAACAAGAGGCAGGAGAAAATAAAATAAATCCAATTAAACGACATATTTGCTGCCACAGAGTAATTCTGTGAACTGACAAGGAATGACCAGTGTGTGTGTGTGTGTGTGTGTTTCTGTAAGTTATTTCTAACTTACTCAGAACACTGCTCTGTCACTTTCTGACCCGCCCCGCCCGACCTGCTTGTCAACACACGCATCACTATTGGCAGGTGTATAAGTAAACAAACAAACAACAACAACCACAAAGATCATTATTCAGTCTCATATTACATTTATGGGAAGTTATTACAGTTTAGATTTTCACCTTCCCACATATGTAATAATTTCCTGCAAATGTAATAGTTATTACATTTGCGGAAAATTGTGTGTTACGTTTGTAGTAGGCAGCTGCTATTACGTTTGTGGGAAATTTATTACATTTGCGGGATTATTACATTAAAAGCTGCAGATTTGTATTACGTTTGTGGTTTATTACGTTTGTGGGCTGTTATTACGTTTGCGGGTGTAACAAGGCTCCATTTGTGCATCCTCAGAAAGAGTTAAATTAACACTGAGGATTGGATTTTACAATTACAGTGTAGAAATGTAAGCCATTGAAATTCAAAAGTTTTGAAGTTAAAATATTTGAGATGATTTATTTGTGCAACAAATGGGATGTAATCATTTCATTATCCTATATGAATACGAGAGCAAATCAAATAAGAAATTCACTGTTATACTGTATAAAGTATAAACTATAGTGTATGCAAAAAAAACCCCTATAATTCTATGTTTGCTATGTAAAGGTGGAGGTGGTGTTGGTACCAGTCCTGCTGATATTTCAGAGGGAGAGGCCAGTGCAGGGCACTTGGCAGAAGGTACAGAAAAATGTCTACAGTAGGGCATGTCATTGGTGGTACATAAGCTTGAGTTATTTGCATATTCCTTGGCATTACATTACAAGAATGCTGTTTATTCATTATTATTAATCACTAGCCTGTAACAAGTTGCAGACACATGAACACCAGGCACTGGCAGTTGACATAAATGGCTCTCTCATGTAGTTGTAATAGCCTCTTGGCACTACAGCTTTATTCTATAAAGTGTAAGGGAATGTTGCTGTCTGTTGCTTTACTGTTATGTCTCCCAGCCCAAACATAAAGGCTACCGTATGTTACCACCTTGGCTTGTACAGTAGGTCCCATATATATTCATATTTTACTTCAAAATATTTGGTGGGTCAATACCTCCACAGATGGGTCATGACCTGAAAAATGTTGGAAGCCCTGTTATGGTAGGATATGTCTCATATCTGTCTAGGTTGACTTGACTTTGTCAATGACTGATGTTATTGAAATAAGTTCACATAAGTTGAAGTTGCTGTTGGCCTATATTTTTACTATTCACTGTTGCACTGAATCTGTTATTGGCATATTATATTGACTGGCAATATAAGCCGGCATCTAAATGATTTATACAATACAATAATACAATCATGTTTTTTACTTGAGCATAATACTATAGCATTATTTCAGGAGTCATGTTGTGACTGTTGTATTGAGGGGCACATTTTGGTGAGAAGTTTCAGTGGCATGTAGGGGAAAGAAAAGCACTGGACTGGACTGCTGGTGATTAGTTATATGGTGAATATCCATATGTGAAATGGAATAATGCTGTGGCTATTGGATTCATACGGAGTGTCCCTGTGACATTGAAGTGAGTGTTGTAGTGACTATTGTGCCTATACTGGAGTACATATTTGTTTTGTCTCAGCCAACATGTACTACTGTGTGTGCGTGCGCGCATGCATGCATGTATGTGTGTGCGTGAATGTGCGTGTGTGGGCTGGGTGGCCTGGTTAAATGTGTGACTCCCGGCCTGAAAAATTCTCCCAGTTCGGCCCTGCAAGTAACCATCACCTGCTGAGATGAAAGATGTGCTGAATGTTGGCAGTGCCGGGTGTGACAGACACAGAAAGCTGGCTGGCTAGTTAATGTTACCTAGCTTGCTAATAAATATGCAAAACATGATGCTATTGGTACATTTCCCATTTTCAAAAGTTCCATGCCTGTCTGCTGACTCACTGCCAGCCAGGTAGCATCTCTCCTGTGAGACAGTTTTTACTTCTTTTTA